CCGAGAGTACCAATTTCAAAAAATTAGCTTAGGACAAGAAATGTCATTTTTCTCATTAAAATAAGTAAAGTAAATTTATGTATAAATTTGTATTTTTATTATTTTATTAATTTAAGTTTAATACTTTCATAATTTATATTATATTAAATAATTTGTCTTAAACTATGTTTTTAATACAAAAATAAACATATTAAGTTTTATCTGGCCCTCAAAATTTTTTTTTCAAATTATTTGGACTGCCATGGAACCTAATTACCGACCCCTGATCTACTCAATTGAGCGTATTATAAATTTTGATTACAATTGTAAAAATCCATTGTTAATTCAGGAGAAACTAGCAATCATTTTTATTAGAAATGATTTATATAGCAACATGTTACAAAAAAATTTGAATATTATAGTCTAGTAGTAGCGCACACAAATAGAGTAAAAAAATTATTAAATTACAAAGTAAAATGATTTAATTTTGTAGTTGAAACCCATCATATCAAACTTGATTCGTCAATAAATACTTTGAAAACATTAAAAATGAATGATTTTAATGTTATGTATTGAGAACATGGGATAAGTAACTGTTTAATTGATAGCTAAGAATTTTTTTTCAATTTTTGAGGGTAATATCTTCAACTAATTGTAATAATTTTACGTTACGTTGAAAAAACTGGGTTAGTTTTAGTTTTAATTATTATCAAGGTGAACATAATGCCCATGCCTGTTGGTCCATTGTACGCACCTCATACCGAATTGTCTTAATTCGGTTTACCCTCCTAAGTATTATCACGAAGTGTTAATACATTACCAACCATAAAGTCACCTCTATAGATGACCAAAGAGTCGTCCTGTCTTTCTGGCGAAATTAAGTATCTCTCTGGGTTTTAAGTTTTTAATATCTTCTTTTTCAGGAAAAGGTTTACTCAAGTAGTTTGATCTTAGTGTGGACAAGGCTTCACATTCGCACATGATGTGAAATGAGTCTTCCTCTTCTACTCCACACTTCCTGCACAATGGTGATTCCAATACCCCCATTGCGTTAAGATGTTTAATCAGGTTACCATGTCCTATCAGTAGACCAGTAAGGATGCTTATTTGATGTCTAGTAATGCTATTAAGATCACCTAGCAATAGACTAGGGGTTTTGATAAACATTTTAGATTATCTAGGTACTACCAAGTGCTTTCAGATTTTCCTGTGTTGTTCTTTGCACCAATTCTTGCGTTGCGCTTTGAGCGATTGCTCAGTGAGTCCTACCACTAGTTCTGGTCCAACATAGGTGTTCTCTGTTCCATTCCTGGCTAGAAAGTCAGCATTCTCATTTCCAGTGACACCGTTGTGTCCCGGGTACCCACGCTAGTGTAACTTTGTTGAACCTCGATAGTGATTCTAAAGTTTCCTTGGATTCTAGAACCAGCTTTGAATTCACCTGATCGTTACAGAGTGCTTTCAAAGCCGCTTGACTATCACTTAAGATAGTTATCTTCCTATTTTTGTATACCAGCAGGTTCTGAGCCCCTACCAGTATCGCCATCACCTCTGCTTGGAAAACANAACCAGTATCGCCATCACGTCTGCTTGGAAAACATAAGGTGCTGTGCCCAATGACATACTGACATTTATTCGTGGCTTTAAGCCACAAATTCCAGCACCTACCTTTCCTGATTTTTTGGATCCATCTGTATATATCACAAATCCTCCTTTTTCAGTCAGGTGGTTAATATTCTATTCTCTACATGTAGTGATCTCCACTTTGCAGGGAATGTTATTCTTAAGAACCGGTTTGATATATTCCAAGGGGTATTCCAAAAACCCCTGGTCTGTCTCTTTTAGTATTTAGTCCACATACCTAAGTTGTGGAATCTTAGTGCTGTGGCTTTGGCGTGAGCTTTCACCTCTAGATGCAGAGGAGGCAATCCAATTAGTTCCTCTAATGCGACCGTTGGTGTAGTTCTTAATGCTCCAGTGATGGCAATAGCAGCCATTCTCTGTATGCGACTAAGTTCTTTCCTAGCTGTAATGAGTGCTGTTCTGGTCCACCAGACCAGGGCACCGTACAATATCATAGGTTTAATCACTGACGTGTACAACCAATACATAACTCTTGGTTTAAGACCCCATGTCTTTCCCAAGGCTCTGCTGCAAGTCCACAATGTGGNCCATGTCTTTCCCAAGGCTCTACTGCAAGTCCACAATGTGGTCATTGCTTTTTTGATTCTTGACTCAACATGTGATTTCCATTTTAGCTTACTATCCAAGATAATACCTAAGTATTTTACTTCCGATTTTAAGCTAATTTCTTGTCCATTTAGAGTAAGAGTGTCATGATTGTCACTGAAATGGAGTGTACCTTGAGCATGGATTCTATCCACTTAGTAATAAGTGGTTCTATTCCATGCTGTTGTGCAGATTCGTACATAGCATCGAAGGAAGTATTGTCAAAAGCCCCTTCGATGTCCAGAAATATACCTACTGCATATGTCGGCAAACAGAGCGACAGGTAGTTTGGATCGGTTGACCAACTGCCTAGCGTCACAGAAGGGTTTGGTGCTACCTACCAGGCTGAGAGGGCATGAGGGTTGCTTGTAGTCTCAACAACGGTCAGTGTTCAAGAACCAAGTAAAGGAAAAAGGACGCAGCAAATATTATTTTCTATATTTCATATTAATTTATTTGTTGTTTCGTTTTTTTGTTATTTTCTTAATAAAGNACAAATTTTGTTGTTTCGTTTTTTTGTTATTTTCTTAATAAAGCAAGTTGTTTTGTGTTTGATTATTCAGTATAAGTAAGTTTGTTTTTATTGCATAGAATAAATTTGTCTATAATAGACAAATTTATAAATAACACAATATTATTGATAGTAACATTTAGAGCAATTCTAAATAAACTAACTGCGTGAGTTCACCTGCGCACAGCTACGTTAGGCATAATTCACGTAATCGGAAAGAAATAATTAGAGGATGGTGCCTGAACTATATTTTAATTATTTCCGCTTTATAATCATCGTTGTCGGCGCACTGCAGTGGTCGATTGACGTCTAAGGTACTCGTGCAAGGTGGTACTCTATTGTTATGTGCCATCGGTACTCTGCGGATACCACGACATGTTAAGGGCCTTTGCACAATATTCACAGATTAAGCTACACGACGTTACGCATATAGTATTACTTGTTTAACCTGCGTAGGTTACTCATGCAGTTAGGTTATAACAAAATTTTATATAGTTTACACATGGTAGAGCTTCATACTCGTTTATAATATTTTATGATTACAGTCCATTCACAAATATTAACAGCATACATTTTATTCTCCACAGCTTTCCCTATCTTAGTAGTTAAGCAGTGTAGAGCTGTATTAGTAGATTTCCCCGTTTGATACGCATGTTGGTTTTCATGTAAAGGGTTCTCCTTTAGAGGCCCCTCCTTGAAGTACCTATCAATAAATTTAGCCATAGACTACAGAAGAAAAGAAGTAAGACTTATTGGTCAGTAGGATTTTGCTTCATAATAGTTAGTGCGGTTTGATTTGGGTATAAACACCACCCTGACCTTTCGCCAGCTTCCGTTTGATAACCATAGGCAAGGCATGCCCTAAATATTTTGCAGAGATAGGGGACGATTATCTCTAACCCTTCTTGCTGAAGTGCAGAGAAAATTTCGTCACAGCCTGCATTTTTAAAAAGCTTATATTTCCCATCTTATTCCACTTGGGGTTATCACTTTCCTGGTTAGACTCCAATCAGCACAAGCCACACGTTTGTCCTGTGCATCATGTGAATGTTCTCTGTTGTTAATTACAGAGTCAGGAAAATGTGTGTTTATCAAATGTGACAATATTTCATTATCGTTATTGGTGAACATTCCGTCAGGCAGTAGTATTGCCTCGACAGTTTTGTTTGGTCCATTCCTCATTGATCGCAGAAGTCTTGTTGATATAGGGAGTTGTTGTATATCTCTACAGAACTTCTTATAGCTTTCTCTTTTGGACTTTTTCAATGCAAATTTGTAGTTCCTTTGGGCGTCCTTATAGGATTCCCAGTGTTTTTCCAAACCTGATTTCATTGCTTTATTTAAAAGCTTACGTGAACTCTTTCTTAATTTAGACAATTGTTAGCATTCTACCAAGCTACACCCTGTCTTGTACCTTTCCTTTCTATTAAATGACAGTTTTCTATGTAAGCCGAGACAATGGAGTCCTGTAGTATGTTTACAGCCCTTTTAGTACTCTGTCTCGACCCCAATCTATATTGTAGGTTATTCGGGTAACGAGGTCACTTTGTTAATTCAAAAGTCAATCGTAAGTGCCTATGATCAGAAAGAGAAGGTTCGGAGGGTACTTTCCACCCTTTCATCTTTTGAAGTAACCCTTTTGAGCAAACTGTCAGATCAATGACTTCCTGCCTGTTCCTGATTACAAAGGTAGGTTCGCTACCTCTATTCAGTATACTGAGGTCTGTAGTCAGCAAAAGATCTATTATTACCTCTCCTCTTTGGTTGATGTTACTGCTCCCCCAAATAGTGTGGGGTGCATTAGCATCCATACCTAGGATGCGTTCTAATTTTTCATTTTTGCAATAATTAAAAAGCATAGTTAGGTCCCTACCTGGGTTTGTGACCTAATATGGTAAGTATCCTGAAGCTACTATAATATTTTTACCATCATTTAGTGTTAATTTAATAATGGTCAAGTCTGCACTTGATAGATTAAGTATCAATCTGGCTTTAACTTTATTATTAAATAATTAATTATTTAATTAGGGTTCTTGTAAAGTTAGGTTATTATATTTGAGTTTAGCTTACAACCTATTTACTTACGTTTACAATAATTTATAATATGTATACAATGTAATTTGTAATTGAAAATTTTTTTAATCATTTGTAATATAGGATAATTCATAAATATTCAACTGATTATAAGTTTTTATAACATAACCTATGACAATTGTCCAAAATCAAATAACAACTTTGTGAAATTTATTTCTATTACTAATAAATGTTTTATGATAAACTACAATGATTAACGCTAAAACTAGTCTATGACGATAACGCATTCCTGCATTTAAAAGCCATTTTTATGCTTATTTTTAATCAATTACAACTATTTAAAGTGATTTATAAAACCTGTTTGAATTTAATGTTTTCAGCATTTTAAGCTACGCAGTTAAAGATGAAACCCTTTAAGAACTCACGAGTTCTTATAGCCGACTCCCGCTGACTCAAACGAAGTATGCAAACAACTTTCATATGCGAGGTAGAAATGTTATTGTAAAGTGATTAACAACAATCATTAATAATTTAATAAACGTAACAATCTTATATTACCAGTAATTAATGAATTAATAATCTAGGTTAAGCGACCAGTCAAAAATATTAACTAATAATTGATTGAGTACTTTTAAGTTTTCTTGAGTATTAATAGAGAGATGAATAAGAGGGCTCGGGTCTCATTTAAATATCATATCACAATAATATTCGTTATATAATTTTAAAAATAATTACAACCAATATATTTTTAAAAATGTATATGGATAATATTTATATTAAATCATTAAAGCCTAGATTTTTATAATCATTTTCAATAATTTCATTACAAAATCTATTTATATGTAAACAAATAAGTTTATAAAGTGGACCATCATGTTTGGTTGAAAACTTCAGATTACTATATGATCTATAAAATATAGCAGTATCTGTGAAGTTTTCAAAATATTCGCAACGAAATCTTAAGCGACTACCCATTTCACTATGTAAACCATTTTTTAATTTCTCATGAGTCTCGGATAATTGGTCAAGATACGCTTTCGCTATTATTTCATTCACAGTATTAGTATTTTCATATGGACCAATATTTAGAGCTTTTAGATCATAAAATAATTCTGTTACAATATTCGCTAGTTTATTCATGCAATTATGATTACTTTCGTGATACTTCCAAATGTATAATTTTTTTAGAATTGCCATAGCAGATAATAACAATTTAATCATACTAACAGAAAACGATACTGAACTACGCAATTGATTTATGCATTCTACATACTGTTTATTATATATAGTACCTTTTAATTCTTCAAATCTACAATGGCTAATTATGATGGTTAAAAATATTTCATACTTTTTAAATATTTCGATATACCTACACCACAATAATTGTTCAAAATATTTTTCATTTTGCTGCAAGTTAAAAGAATTCACTTCATTTTGAAATAATATACTCGCGTCTATTTTCAAAAAATTTTCTAAGATAATTTTAATATTCTTAAAAGGCTCAAAATAACGTTTTGCATATAATTTGTTTAGTGCAGCAATCCTATGTTCAGTATCAACAACTTTCAACGGTGGTACAAGCCTATAAGCATAAAATTATTTTATATTATTTATTATTATTTTATAATTTTTTATTTCATTATTTTTATTTTGAATACAAATTTATATTACGAATTATGAGATTAAAAAAATTTAATACAATGGAGGATGTACAAGTTCTCTAAGGTTATACTTTGTTCTTCAATAATGTGGTTTTCATACACGAGAATTAACAATAACCTGTTTCAGTTGGTCATAAATTATCATCAGTATTTATTATTGGTATCGTATGTAACAGATATCATGAATTGTGAATTAATTCCTGTTTATGAGACATCATGAAAAAATGAAAACTACTGTACGCTAAACAACAAATTAACTGATTAACGTATTAAAAATCGCTAAGCATTAACAAGCAATAACGGAAGAACGGCGGATCAAATAAAAAATATAATAAAAACAAAATGTTTTTTCTACTATATCAAATAACTAAAAACAATGGTTACCGTTAAATAAAATCGAAGTCTTAATTTGTAACCATGATTGTATAGAAAAAATTTTTACGACACATTATTATAGTTTAAATTGTTTTTATTTTTGAACATTTTTAATAGTTTTCAAGGAAATGAGTATTTAATACAATTTCCTAAATTAATATGCATATCAATATCGCCCTGCATATAATAAGACTACATTATTATAATTATATCATATTGTAATAAACAAGATTATCATAATTTAATGAAACAGCGGATTATTTTTTAAATAAAAATAATATTGATGATATAACTTTTAAATACACGTTTGTCGCAAATTATCAATTATGAAGTATATTTCATAATTATAGCTTGAAACTTTATAAGGGTGTCGTCTTAATTTTTTTTAAAAAAAAACAACCTACATAATTAGCTATGTTATTAATTAAATAATGATTTAATTAAAAAAATATCTTTACTTCTTTTTACTAACTTGATAGTAACTTTTATTAGGCCATTGAATGGAGTCATACAACGCTAATTCAATGTTGTCGAAACACACTGATACTTAATTATTATCAATGATATAATGCTTAAAGCTAAAAATAATCATAATAACCTTAATACGCAATAATTTTAGTAATTATTATCTTACCCAGGTAAAGTTTGATTTAATAATTCTTGAAACCCAAGATTTTCATTCTCATTTTTGATAGTTTCTTTATAAAATACTTTGACATCATCACAAATAAATTCAACAAAACTTTTGTCTATTTCTTTTTGTAATGCGTATTTCTGGTTATACTTTTCAAGTATATATTTATAAATAAAATTATTATTTATATGGCTGATTTTATCTAAACACGAAATATTTTCAAGCATATGAGTTACTTCAGTATGGAAATGCTTGATACTTAAAAGATACTCGCAGGCATCGTCTGTATCAAAAGCTCCATTCGATTTTTTATAAGTAAACGTACATGGTTTTGTTATTGCAGTGAATACATGAACAGTATTAATCTCATTAACTACAGTATATGGCAATACATATTCAGGAAATATAGTATTGACATCCAAGATATTAATAAACATCAAAATATCATTTAAAATTTCAAACATTCCATTTGAACAACCAATAACATTGTGAATTATATTGGTGCATTCGATAAATTTGTTAAATATTTTTTTATTGTAATAGTTTTCACATTCACTTATTATTATCATTACATAACTGTTATATATTTTTAAAAATTTAGCATATCTATAGTTAATTGACACTATAATTGAACTAAATATTTGAGGTGTAATATTAAGATCATTTATCATTTTTTTAGATGATGTGTTTAATAAAAATATAGAGTCGTCTGTTGTATTTAAATTATTCCATGAATCTGTTTTGTCTTTAAATTGATCATGATATATAATGTGATTTACAACTTCCACTAAGTATAACTTGAGTTCAGTATCACTAGCATTTAAAGTTAAAATATATTTCAAACTCCACAAAATTGAAACGCTAAAATAATATTTTAGATTCATTTTCATCTTAATACAAAGAAACAATAATAGACAGTACAAAATTTAATAACAGCATAACTATAGTATTCACCTTAATTTAAGACGAACTTTATTTAGTTAAACATTATTTACCAGTTAAAAACACTTACCAATTTATTTTTAAATTTTATGACTCTTTATTTTTATAATATTATACAGAATGTTTAGTAAATAAGGAAACAGGTAAATTGTTACAAACAATGAGAACAATAAAAACCCGATTCCTCACTAATTGAACACTCTCTATAATTATATTATTTGAGTGAATCCTCATTTATAATAGTTATAATACTGAAATGAAAATTAAAGAGTATTAAAGAGAATATTTTAATTTCAAGGCGTAGCTGAAAGTCTATTTGTTTTACTTAATAGTTATTTTTTTTTTAGCGTTTATGTACGTCATTACTAATGCTTCTATTTGCACAACAATATTTCAAATAATCACAAATTATATCTAATTTAAGTTATCAATGCTATAATTATGAAGTGTTCTCCTTAGTTCTGGTATTAAAAAAGAATGCCCAAAGAAATTACAGTTATCTTTTAATAGTAAATATTAAAATTTTAGTTTTCAAAACTTATTGGAATGACTTTTTGATAATCCAACTATTAACTTATCATAATCTCGAATTCGCCGAATTATTGGTCAATTAAGCCAAAAACCACAGTGTTCACTGAAAATTACCAAATTTTTAAGTTTTATGCATAGCAATGGAAAATCTACATCATTCCAAGATGAATAAAATACTAGATTTTTTTAAATACTATTCGATTAAAACAGAAAAACGTTCCATACTGTAAGAACATTTTTTAAGTATTTTTACAAAATCTACTTTATACTTTCTAGGGATTTGAGTTTTTCTCTAGTAAACAAAAAAAATATCAATCACCAAATTTGCACTTTCGAAAAGTTAAGTTTTACAACTAGAAAATTAAACGCAAAAAAAAACAAAACGTGCATTCAGTTTCTTAGAGAAAGCAGCTTACTGCCAAAAAATTAATTATTCAGTGAGCCAACTAAATAAATTGTGTTGACGTGGCATTTTTAACAAATATTAAAAATAAACAATACTAATATCAACTTATATAAAACACTACAAGGGTAGTAATTTTAATTAAATCAAAACAAATACATTCGTGATAAAAATTAATTGTAACTCGCTTTCGTTTTGGAATATTACACCATTTGTTAGCTACAAATGTTTATTTTATCTATGGTTATTATAAAAATAATAGAAATTAAAATATTTTTTTTTGCTATTTATAGTCTCAAAAAAGAAACGAATTACGTAATTTAACAAAAACGTTGAGTAATATAAGAATTTCACAAGATATTTTAGCTTCGATGCGAAGCTGAGAAGGTATTAATTTTACTATGATGTGTTTTTTTTTTTTTTGTGTCTGTATACGCTCAATC